CCTCTCTTTTCTGTCACTATTCTCCCACACACACTGGATTTCTCTCTGCTTATCTACTATTTTGAGCTGTTACCCGAACTCACCGTGTGGCTCATTTTGTTAGTTTAAACATTACTTTGGTATTGGGTCTTACTTTGTTTTTATATGGATATGAAGTAATATTGTTTGTGTCTTTACAGGACCGTGTATTGGATCTGGAGATGGTGAGGTTTGATTTCTTTGATCAAAGTAATGAATAAAGTAGTAAAGGTGATGTCTCTACTAGATGTCTGACAAGAGCTTAGCATTTCATACCAAAACAAAAGCCCACCAGACTGCACTGACAAAAACAGTAATTGCAGATAATCCTTTACACAATTCAAACCAGACAGAAACAAAAAATAGAAACTCACCAAAACAGTCTGTTTGTCTTTCCAACAATCAACAACACTGGTTTGATTGTGAATTAAGGGTTGATTTCAGAGTTCGATGTGAAAATATTAGCAAAATGGGTTGCAATGGTGGCGGCAACGTAACCTAATACAGAAACAGCCGTACTATAGCTATGCCTGTCACCAGACTCCTTTGACAAAACGGTAATTTTATCTTGGATATCATCATAACATCGTAACTTCATTCAAAGGGTACTAAACAAAATAAAACTCTTAAAACCATCTTTGTTATTCTTTCCACTGTTCCAACAATCACTGACTCCAGTTTGGTCAAAATAAATCTTTAATGTACTGATGTAGCAGTTTCACTCGCTCTACACAGTTAAATACATTGGGACTCACATGCACTAACATGCATGCATGGTAAACAAAGCACATACAGGCTGGGATAGCAGCACGGGCGGGACACTGTATACTTACATAGCAAATATTAGTTTGCTATATTAATGTTTTAAATCTCATAACCTTAAAAGACAATTGTGTATATTAGAGTTTAGAAAACCTGGAGTTATGAATTGTCCTGGAGTTGTTAGATTAGAAATCATGTTGACTTTCAGCATGATTCGGCGCAGCCGTTTTGGCAGGTTCACCTAGGGCTGTATTTGTTTAGCAACCCATAGAGCCTAACAGAGTGTTAGAAAAGATTGCTTTAGTCAAGGCTCATGGCTCTGTTAATCATCATAAGTCCTGCTGATTGGGTTAAGAACTGAGCTGTGCTGACAGTACAGTATTGACCTCACCATTCAAACTGTTAACGTCCACTACTAACATCCTCAATCAGCTATTAGATGTCACCCCAAAATTACTTAGCACCACTGAAAGGTTATATTGACCTAAGCGCTTTTTACCCTCTTGAAAAAAAGAAATAAATGAAGCTGTCTAACGCACGCTGTCTATGCATCACAATTATGCAGCATGCATGGCCACTTCAGCCTTCAATTAGCTGGGAAAGAAGAGGAAATACCTCAGACCCCCCCAACACGTCAGATAATTTCTGCTTACCACAACAACACAGGGGCAAGATGCATCGACCCATCCTCCACTCAACCGGATGGTGGGGATCAACCAACAGTCTTACTTGTGTATGTCAGTGTGCCATTCAGTGTAGCAATCAGCGTGACGCCTTGTAACAACCAGCTCCTTTGATGCTTAAATGCTCCATCTGAATGGGAATTGGAGGGCTATTGAAACATACAGCGGAGGGATGAATAGAATGGAGTGCGGCTAGAGCAGTTTCTAAATCAAAGATTGAGTGTTGTAACAAGTCCTCAATTAGCTTTTGAATCGAGCACACAGTTTGTCATCATGTCTGTTACCATGTAGACTTGACGCCACCGTTTTTATTTATACTGCAGCAGTTGTGCATATAATAGAATCCATAGTTGTTTATAGTAGTGTTGGGAATATAGTAGTAATGGGAACTGTATAGACTGCATTCTCAGCAACTGTTGTTAGAGGATTTGTATGTTAAAGAAATACTGCACTGGAAATCTTTCGGGTACCTGTGGCCAAGTGGTTCAAGTAGATATTATATGACCTGCTGTGGACCTTTGTTATCTATCATAATCACCCCCCGCCCCAAAACTTCCTCAACAACCCTGCAGCATAATCCTGTCTTCCTCCGTATATCCAAATCCTCATATATCAATACATTGCTGAATATGGTACTTCTGGCAAATCTTTGGAGCTAGAAGCGTGTGCAAGTGTTTTATCAAAGGTGCCCTGTGGAGATTTTTTTTATTACTATTTTTACATTCAGGTCTTCACAGTACACTGGTATCTGTGAAAGTCTATGCTGAACGTCTTAAATTAGCTTCAATTCAATTTTATTTGTATAGCGACATATCTCATAACAGAGAGTTATCTCAGGACACTTTTCAAAATAAGAGCAGGCTTACAAGACCGAACTCTTTATAAAACATTTGCAGTGCCATTTAAAAATATATCTATATTTCAATCTATGCGTTGTTACGTCCATTTTTCCAGGCTTTGCAGCCTTCTTTACTGCCTTTGTTGGTGCATTACAAACACTGACTGAATAGTGTGAAAACAGCAGCCGAAAAGTGCATTCTGATGCATGATACAAACAAGACCTGCTCATGAAAACATCACTCTATTGCACTAATAGTCAATGAAAATGTTAAGGCTCTGTGGGACATCCTATTAAATTGTGGAAATATGTAAAAATGGAACATTTTGCTTTAGACATATATTGACAATAATCCTGGCATTTAAGCAGCCTGTTTTAAACTCTACCACTCATTAGAAATGACAGCATTGTAGATGACGTGTGTGAGCATATAAAGAAACATATTTACAAAAGTACTGTTTGGCTGATCTGTACACAGTCTAAAGATAGGTTTGTCGTGCATATGTGCGAATGCTTATACAGTTTATTTTAAGGGACAAAATATTTTATATGCAGTCTTATATTTCACATTCTGTTTTGTCATGTAGGAAGACATAAATAATACATAAACGTGCTAACAGTATCGGCTGTGCACCCTTGTTATTTGGGTAGAACATCCCATTATCTCTGCAAATACAAAGGCATCAGTAGCCGCCACAGAGCAGTTAAAGCACACGGAATACTGATCCAGCTGTGCAGCTTTCATCAGTACTCATCGCTTCAGGTGACCCTTGACTGGAAACGACGTCTCATTTCACTAAATGTGTGTTTTTATTGATTATTCCGTCCTTGTTTCTGTTTCTTTCATCTTTTCCTCGGTCTTAAGTGAGTAGTGCTGAGGAACAAGGAAAATTCACATAACGGGAAGGGGAGGCACTTAAGGGAATTGGGATGTAGCCCCGGTGTTTACCCCTAGATATTTCTCTATTAACTATTACGTTTGTTGTCATTGCCCGTGTGCTTCTGCTTCTCCCGTACATTGTAATTTATAATGAGTTTTTTTTTTGTTTTAAAATGTGAATTACATTTATATTTTGGATATTGTATCAATTTTTTCCGTTAATTCTTTTCAGTTAATCATATTTGTAGCTGTTGCAAATTTAAATGGATGGAGTTAAATGGCTAAATAATAAATGTCAGGGCAAACCAAGAAACCACATATTGTTATGTACAATTAACAATTTTTTGTGTGTGTTGTGTCTGTCTGTGTGGTCTGTCTGTGTGTGTCTGTCTGTGTGTGTGTTGTGTGTGTGGTGTGTGTGTGTGTGTATGTGTGTGGTGTGTTTGTTTTCCAGAACACAAGAGTAGCCCTGGACCACTTAGAGGCACTTCCAGAGAAACAATGTCTAATGGAGAACTTCAAAGATTTGGAGGTGGGTTCACTTCAAGCCTAGAGTATTTTTTAATGTAATGAAATACAGTTAACACCCAACTGTGGGTGCAGTAAAAATTTTAAATAATAATATAAATCAAATAAACACCATGCAGAAAACCACCAAAGAATAACATTGTATCAGATTTATTATAACCACATTTATCCGGTTGCATAATGCATTCATTTTACTTTCGGCCTGGTTAAGTACAGTCGTCTTTAGTGTGGTAGGTTATGATGACAGCCTCCATTTTGTGCCTTCAGGAATCCCAGCGCCAGAGGGACATGGTCGAGCAGCGCTACTCCAAATACAAAGAGATCGTCTGGGACCTGCAGCACCAGCTGGACGAGTCCAAGCGCAGAATCCAAGAGTACAGAGTACGACACGCAGACAGATGCAATTCTGTACTCTGGAAAAATGAGCTTTATAATGCCTTACAAGAGCCTGTACTCCCAAACAACAACCCACACTTTTTCTATTTCAGTCACTAATTGCACTGCTTTGTTCAAACAGCAGCAGTTTGGATAAGGATAGCCTGACTTTGAGAGCCATTTATGAGTGTAGCTCGCCCACACCGGTGCCAATGTGTGCACCGCACCTAATTTGCAACTTGTATGAATAAATGAATAATTTCACATGCTGGTAATGCATCATGGATGGACAGAGTAGGACAAGCTCGAGCGATGGCACAAATGTGCATTCAAACAAAACCGGAATTTCACCAGTCACTGTTACTTGCTACAGTCATCTTCTGTGCTATAAAGCCGTCAAGGGAGCCATCAAGACATCATTGTTGACAGCTGATTGCCATGCAACCTCCCCTAAACAGCCACACAGTCACTTTTTAAATGGTTTTAATGTGCCAGATTACCCTATTGGTTTGCCAAATGACTCCCGTGCTGAGCGATAAGTGGCGATTGCATTAGTTTAATAGCTGCTGCCCACTCGGGGTTTGTTTAAGGAAAAAGGATGGATGGGATGTCTTTACAGAACCTCCATCTTGATCAGTCAGCAATGCCAACAACAACAAATAGCTTCTACACTGAATGTAACAGTGGCTCTCTGACTGAAACACCGGCTTGGGTCAATGCCTGTCCTGTCATTACAGGGCATCTGCAATGTTGATCAGAATCAGAATCAGAAATACTTTAATAATCCCCGGGGGGAAATTACTTACTTACTCTATAAACAGGATAAAAGAAATCTAAAATGTGTGTCAAACTTAAAGAGACAGCAGCAACTTGGCAGGCCTTGCAACAGAATCACAAAATATCTTTTAGACATCTCTTTTTAGGCTGGGGCACTTTTGCCTGCATGTTTACAGGCAAATAAAAGTCTTGAAAAGAAGCTTTTATCATACACTGGTGCACACTGTCCATAGAGGAACTCAAATCACTCACTTCACAAACAGAATATTTTATCATTCTGTAGAGCACTTGGGATGTCCAAACAAGTATTTTGTGGACACAAAATGGCTCGCAACTTTTATTTTAAGGTACTTCAAGGTAGATTTTGTGTAGTCTATGTGCTCTGTAAAGTGCGTTACTGTAAGACATGCCTTATACAGAGTTCTGTCTGATATTCTATCCCCAACAGACAGGTATAAAATCTCCCCAGTTATTAGATGGATTGTTTTTATTATTCAATGGCACAACGCAACGCAGCCTCAACGTGCAGCGAGCTGCTGACTTTCAGCCTTGTCGGTTTCTGTGTCCTCCTGTCTTCCAGGACGAGAAGCTGGACGCCACTTCCAGGAGCCTGAGACTGGCTGCTCTTTCTTCCTCCATCAAAGGCCCCAGCACATTCCTCAGCAGCTCGCTGAGATCTGACACACTGTGTGAGTATTTATATACTGAAGCTACAAAACCTGTGCTCTGTCAGCTTATCTGTTGGTTGGTTTGATGGTAGTCATGTTTTTTTTTCCTGCATCTCTGCATTGCTGGATCATTTGAAAACATGTACAAGTATTTTTAAATGTGTTGTACTACAACAGTCGGCACAATGGCTGGATAGCTAAAATACAAATCCAGTTTATTTTGCAAGACACAATTATGAATTTACTTTTTAATACAAAATGTATTACATTTATCCCAGCAAATGTCATAATATTCATATTTTCCAGTCCAATTGTGTGTTCTTGGGCAAATAAGCACTGTCACTGGGTATTTGTTTCAGTAAAGATGAATTATGCAGCACCAGTATATCATTAAAAAGCTTAAGTTGTGATGTACATAATTATACTTGATGAATTTCACCGTGGCAGTCTTAGAGCACAGTAACTTCTCCGTTTAGTATTTCAGCATGGCGCCCAGAGCTCAAACTTTCCATCAGTGCTCTGGCTGTGTGTCTGTATCACTGCCAGTAGCTCATAGCCAAAATCACTTGTAGCACTTTACTAAGCTGCTTACAGATATTTGGCACAGTGTGAGAGGAGCGTACTTTCTGTGGCTTTGTGTCTGTTTTACCTCCAAGAATTATGGTGGCCAAAACATATCTATGGCTATTTACCACTATTGTTAATATACAACACAATTATCACATGCATTCATGACTACTCTGGCAGTAACAGGTAGTCCTAATCATTTTGGTACTACTTGTAATGAAATATCAATTACCAATAGAGAGAAATATAGTACTCCCACCCTTTTGGGCTGTGACTGGGTGATAGACAGGGAATATAATTGTTTTTCACTCACTCTCCTCCCTCCCTTTCCACAGCTCCTCACAAACGCCTGACCAGTTCAGACTTGGATAACTCCACAGTCAACGGGGCCAAACCCCTCTCAGATTAGCTCGACCTCATGTGAACCTCAAGTGAACCTTTATCTGTATCCGTACAAACCCAAACACGGTGCTTTACAGCTGATTCTACCTGCCTTGTGCTCAGAACAACTTGACTGTACCAGGAGGCCTTGCACTCAACACTAATCCTCCTCGACTACCTCAACCAGGCAATCACTGAAGGTGCTCAAGAGCAGAAGGGTAAGAGTGAGATTTCACAACAAACTTTGACAAATACTTTAAAGGAGGAGATACAAGTTTGGACACTGTAAAGGATGGTATACTGTTAAGTGTTTAAATGTTATTTATAAGAGCCTGAAATTAATGTATTTGAATGGATTTTTAAACCAAAATAGTTTCACTGTTACATTTCTTGCCATTGTTTCAACATTTTAATTGCTCAACAGCTGTTTTAAACATTGTTTACCCTATGACCAATCTGTACTCTTATTATCATGCCAATGTGTTTGTGTTGAAATTATTTAGTAGAACTACTGGTGCCTTTCGAAGACTATGCAGTTTTGTTATTTTACTGACAATGTGTTGTCTTCATCATGAAAATGTGAAGAATCTGTTGTTTTTCCATGTTTTAAATGCATTGACCAACTGTCTGTTTTGTTTCATACAGTATATATTTGTAAAAACAAACACTAAGCACAAATAGATATAATTTTTTATGTAATATGAAGAGAGTGTATGCACTACAAATAAATCCCCATGCAACTAAATGTCTGGTTTATAAGCACACTTGATGTCCCCTTCATTGCAGAGTGAAGTGTTTGCTTTGCAGCAGCCGGGTAGACTGCAACTATTCCCACTGGTAAATCTTTTGCTAAAAACCTTCATCAGAGATAACAACCTAAAGCCACATGAGAGAGAAATGTCCTCTTTTAATTTACTGCTCAACTTCTAAGGTATAAACACATTACCTGCTGTGCAAACATTTCTCAAAGTTGTACATAATCTCATTTGAGCCGTATGTCTTTTGAGACTTTGTGCAGTACTTTGGAAAGGTACTGTAAGGTGGTGTACAGTATAAACCTGACCAAACACCCTCAAACCACACTGAACATGTTGGCAGATATGAAGCCCCGAAACTGACAAAGTTTAGTAAAATGTTATCAGACAAGTCAAAAACACAGCTAAACGCATAAATAAATAATAATACAATAAATAATTAAAATGTGTGTAAAAACAAAATATTAAGCTTTGTTTTCTCTGAGCGCTGATCTGTTTGTAAAAATGCAGTCAAGATTTTTATTTTTCTCACTACCACCAATCAATTGATAAAATAAGGTTTAAATACAAGAGAACACTTTTACTTAGCCCCGTTTATTTTTATTTTCATTGTTTTTGGTAAAGTTAACATTTTCCATTTTAATTTCCTCACCAAATGTGGAAATGTTGCCTGTGTAAAGTAGGAAATAAAAGGATTAAAGGACCAGTGTGTATGATTCAGTGGCATCTAGCGGTGAAGATGTAGATTGCAACTATCTGAATACAGCTTAGCCTTTTAAGTGTGTAGGACTGGGGTCAGCAACCTTAACTATCAAAAGAGCCGTTATTGGCAGAAAAATGTAAATCTGTCTGGAGCCCCAAATATATTTATTTATTATTAGCTTTATAGTGCTGATATATCACCGCAAATCAAGCATGCCAGTAAACTAGCAGATAAATGGCACACAAATCTGTTCACACGCTAATACAGTCTCTATTTTCCTCTGAAACTTTCTTGTTTTGGATTTGGACTCCATAGCTAGCCTAGCTAGGGATGCTGTAGGTGGAACTACAGTGGCTGTGAATCATGGGAATCTAGAGCCAGTGTTTGGTTTGTCCATTCTTGGCTACTATAGAAACATGGCCATTCAACATGGCAGACTGTAGGAGAGGACCTGCTCCCTCTCTAGATGAAAACGGCTCATTCTCGGGTAACAGAAATTATTCATATTTTCTGGGTGCTCTTACACTAATGAAAACATCCTTATTATATTCAGTTTATTCTAAATGTTACACACTGGAACTTTAAATGTGACCAAATAAAGAGAACAACTAAATGAGATAGTAAAAGATAAATAGAATTGATTGGTTAAAAAAAATGATATCCTGTTATTACATTTTGTCATTATCAGGGCTCCATAGAATCTGTCTTTTTATAGTGATTTAATTGGTGTGCTTTAGTGGTTCATTACTCCCCCAAAAAGTAAAATGAATTTCACCACTTGTAATTTTTTCAGTATTACTCAGCACAATCATGTTTCTCAAGTAGCATGGTACTTTTAAACCTGAAACAAGACATACATAAGTATGAATTTATGAAGCTAAACTTCCCAAAAGAAATGCGATTCATGCATCTTTACTAAATCCAAGCTTGTGGGGGTTTTGGAGCTTTGTGTGTGCCAGCTGTACAACACAAATCCTCTCCTTTATAAGCTTCTGCAGGTGTCTTTTGTACAGCAGCCTGTAATATTCAAAGAGAAGAAAAAAAACTTAATTGACAGCTAAGTAGTCCCCCGTCTTAATGAAAATCAAAGCTTATGTGAGTTTTGGCATTTTTGAACACACTTCGGTACTAATGTACTGTCTCATCCTCTGAAGGAACAGCACTGTTATCTCTTTAAATCACTTTCAAAAAGGAGAAAGTCTTGCATTTAGAAGAGGCAAAGTTTTTGCTAGACTTAATAACAAAGGCAAAACAAAGTGTTCCACATAGTCCAAGCGATTACAGGTCCAGTCTGACAAAATGTCTGTGTTTTATGAAGCAGCATCCAGAGGAAAGCAAAGCTCAACCAAGCTTAGAGCAAAAATGAGCTGCGGCACTGTACTAAGCCTTCGCTCAATCCCTGTTTCCCCTCTTAAGTTCTAAGTACATTTGGAAAGCTGAGGTCCAGAGAAAATATTGAGCAATTCTCGGAGCACATATTCCAGCACAGTTTGTCTGCACATGTGTGGTGACCACTCAACATACTGTAGATTTTACATTCATCTATTGACTTGTGATAGCTGGTTCAGGTAGGTGGTTAGCACTAAACACAGACAGATGGTGAAGTCGCAAACAGTCCAGAAAGTCTAACAGATACCTGGAGACTATGAAATTGAAAATTTAGGATTGTTTTGCTTTGTAACTCACCTGTCAGATGAAAGCAGAGTGAATTTTGGCAATAACATTTGTTCCCCGTTAGGGCTCAAACTTGAGCTCAGACTTAAATTTGAAGATGATGAGCAATCTCAGAGTTTGGCTTTTTCATCCCCTCATTCATCATAGTATTGATATTTTCACATTTGTCTAAATCAATCATATTTGGCAGTCTCAGTCACACTCGCAGACATCCCCTGGCTCCCTAATGTACTTCTTTATACTGTAACTACGTCCCTAGGAAAGTGTCTGCTTATCTAAGCTATATTAGGTTGCAAAACACATGCAAACTCATAGATCAGTCCTGCTGTTCCCAGCAGACTAGTTTCTCCATTTACATTCTGCCCCATCATTAGTCCAGCTTTACTCCACTTTGTCAGGTTGAGAGATGTTAATGAATAAATTTAGAGCCTTCCACTGGTTTGTTTGTTTTCCCGCAGAGGAAAATACCGCCTCTATTTAAAAAAAAAAAAAAAGGAGTTTGTCATCTGCATTTGCACATGCATGAGAAATATAACACACATCTGTCTGAGCTTGTCAGAATAAATTGCAGCATGACAGTCAAAGTTATTTAAAATGTGCCAGTAGTATTCAGATCTATTCAGGAAGACTCGCAGAATGCTTCTTTCCCTGTCTGTATGAATGCAGAAAGGCTGAGAAATCAGGTCATTAGCAGGGTGATGCATGTTGCAGAGCTGACAATCAACACACGCAAGCAACACATTCAGACACACACATTCTTTCTCAGCTCTCAAATACATGTATTGTTGCACAACTCTTGTGAGGCAGCTTCTGGAGATGAGAAAATGTTTGCCTACCTTCTGCTTAGTTGTGTCCTCTGTGTCTCAGCTCAACCTTCCACATTTGCTCTGCTGGTGTCGCTCAGGTGTGTCGCATCAGTGGATCATTACCAGTCAGACACGACGAATCAAAGACTGATATATCTTAAAACTCTGGCAAAAAAAAGGCTAGACTCCAATAGGGGGAAGTTTAAAAACAAATAAGGATTTATGTAATTTGAGTGAACTAAACCTATAAATTCTCATTCATTAGAGGCCTAGAGATGCAACTGTGCTTATTAGTGTCATATCTTAACATTTATTGTTGCCCTCCTGGTTTAGATTCAATATTAATAAGGATAATTTTACTTTAGACAGCACACTCTGCAGCTGTGCAGGATCCAGTCAGTAGTATGCTCAAGGGCATCACAGCAGGATGGTTATGTATAAGTTTAAACGGCCTGTCAAACTGAGGCAGGCAGACAAACATACATATAAGCCCTTCCTCACAGATACTGTAATTCCTAAAGTTGAATATTATCCCACTAAAACGGCCATTAGTAAACACAGCAACCCCTTAGTGTTGCTTCTGCCTCTCACAGCCAATCAAACAGCAATGGGGTGTTTGCCACCGCTGCTTACCGCCGTTATAGTGCTGGCATAAGCCTCTGCAGGAGCCACAGAGGCTGATTCCCATTAGAACAAACCTATTTGGCTTGCATTACAAACCCATTCAATCAGGCAGCCATGCTCTGCTTTTTCGTTTAAGCCCGGAGGCTGAGAGTGTATCCAGCCGCTGTCGTTCAATAAGTGAATGGGTTATTGCAGCTGAGTCTTCGTATCAACCTCATTTTCTCCTGGGCTTAGGGGGAAAAAAAAACATATTTTTTGTGCAATTGTTGTGCAACAATTTGTATTTATAACCCATTTTAAAATAAGATGAAGTGCTGTACACTGTGTTTGCTCATCGAATATGCAACAGTCAAGGGTGAGTGGAGTGATTTCCATGTTTGATAGCAGACAGGTGTGGAGGACCAGCCCGCCGATCGTGATGCCAGAATGACCTCTCCTGGCACTGTGAGTGAGTCCACGCGTCCTTTATGGCACGCTCGAGTGTCATCACTTGTGAGGACCTGTGCTAAATCACAGGGAGCAGCCCTGCATAGACTCACAGCTACCAGACGGTGACTTTTATGAGCCAGTTGTGAATTGACTGGAGTGACGGCTGTAATAGTTACAGATTCAGTGTCATTAGTTTATTACTTATCATTCACTGCGTCGCATGAATATGTGATTAGCCTGCAAATGGGGGATAAGGGTTCTGACTGTCAGGGCCCTGGGCAGAGTCTGGTCTGAATTTTTCTTCATAATCCTCCTGTGTATATGTCTAATTAGCTTATTATTCTTTTAGTTCACACAGCACTGGTTTTGAAACAGGTTGGGATGAAATCTACAAAACAAATGAAACCCCCTCTGTGCAGCTGCTGTAATATCAGTGACCAACTGGAACAAGCAGGAATAAAACTTGGCTAGCTTATAACGATTTGAACATCTGAGAAAATGATGGTAAAAATTGGTACAGTGAAGAAAATTATTTTGGAAGAAAACATTTCTTCAAACATGGGGGGGATAAATGCTGGATATAGATGTAAGTATGACCCATAATTCCTAGCATCCCCTCAGCTGTTGTAAATTAACTAGTTCTTATGTAGAGATTATTCACCTACAGGGTGGAACTAACGTAGCCACTGCCAGTTTGGATTAAAGAATAAAACAGGAACTGTTTGTGACACAACCTAAATATGATACA